TATGAGAAATGACACATAATAGTTGGAGGATTCTTAATTGGAGAAAACTGGACTAAGCTGGATAGATATTCTGACCTGATCAAATGTCTTTTTGTGTTCTCTGATAAGATGGGCTATCCTAGCTCACAGGATGAGCTAGCCTAGCTCACAAGCTCTCTAACCTTCCCCTAGCAATCTGTTTCTCTTTGTTCAGCTTGCTTATTTTTTAATCTGGCATCATGAATAAACTGTTGTTAGGACTAACTTGGATTATACTTTGAAGCTAGTTTTGAAATCATAGCATAGTGCAGAGATGTGCCATTTTGATTTGGCAGACGCTTTAAACTTTTGTGTGTTGGGCTGAAATTCTACTGAAAGAGAATGGACAGACCGAATAAGTGAGCAGGACATAACCTGAATTTTATTTTGTTTAGTTTTATATCCGTTGCACTATATTAATGTATCATATTAAAAACTAAAATTAAAGATATTTTTGAACAAGTTCTGGGACTTGTTCTTTTGTTCTTTCAACTTTTTGCATACCTGATTCAAAAGTTAACACTGAATAGGTTTACCAGTCTATTCACACTATGGTCTACTGTTACTTGCTTAGTACAGACTTCATGACTAACAAAGAAACTTAAGGGCTTGGAAGACAGGAATGCACAATAACTGTTTGAAAATTTGAAATCAAATACTTTTATCATAAATCTGTTGTGTAGGTGGAAATGTTTCTGAATTGTATGTAAAATCAGTACTTTGAAAAATTATATACAAAATAATACTGCAAAACAGCAACAGCTGGATTTATATTGTATGGCAATTTTTAGGTATTTGAGACAGTAAATAGAAGGTGTGAAAAGGAAAACAGTTTTTGGCTAAGATTATTACTTCCTTCCAAGCTGTTTGAAGCTAGATGACTTTATCAGCTCTGTGTGGCAAAGAATAACATTGCAGGTGGAGAGAAACACTACTAGGTAGCTAGAATTAAAATCCCTTCATTATTGTGAATTGTGAGAAAATCAGCCCTCTCTCAGCTCAGTACGTGGGAGAGAGAGACAGAGTGGTAAAAACAGCAACCTCCCAGAATGCTTTTTCTTCTGTGGATGTTCACATATGTAAAATATGGTGTATTTTGCCACAAATCAGCTGCCAGTTAGGTTTGAAGAAATCACAGTGCCATTGCTATAGAAACCTGCACTTGATTAGATGTCATAACTCTGTTTGATTCACACTGATGTGCTCTAGGTTCCTACTGTGAAATGAAGACAGTATTTCTTTTATGTAGAGAAAGAATATAAATTCCACTGCTTTACAGCTTACCAAATGACTTTGATGCAGAATTTAATCAAGGTGGGTTACAGCAAACCAGCAAGCATGGTGTTGCTGTTCTGTTGTAAGCTACAAGTTTAATACATTTGTGGTAAAGGTTTTATGGTGTTTTAATTTAGAGAAAAACTGTGTATTACAGAGTTTATCCTTCCCATTGGGAAATGTGTTCTTATATACAAAAAATAATTCCTTACATTCAAATGGAGGCCTCTTTGACCGGGTCCAAACAATACTGAGCTTGTTAGCAAAAATCTTGACGTTTTTAGGCTTTTTTGGTTCACAATTTAATGTCACTAAATGCATGGTGCATTAAATTTATTTATGATCCAACCATCTTTCTGGAAGGGCTTCTATTTTTTTAAGAGCTTGGTGCATCCAATAGTCAAGAATATATCTAACTCAGGATTGAACTGTGGAGTCCTTGGTGATCTCTAAATTTGGTTGGTTGCTTGCAGAAATTGCATTACCATCTAGGTAATATTAATGCACTTATCAGTGCAACAGGCACTAGTGATGCTACTTATTTGAATAATGAAATGTCTGTAAGCAAATAACCAAGCTCAGAGAACACCAAGGAGTCCCACAACTTAGTGTATATTGGTTGTAGAAGGTGTTTCCTTTCACTGTTGGCAAGTCAGATTTTGACAGCAAAGCAAACCTAAATTGCAGACATCAAAGTGGTGAGCATTGAATGCAGTGAAATTGTGTAAACATGGTGTGTAAATTGTGACTAACCATCGTCTCAGTTATGCAGCATTTAGTTATTGATAGATCTACTACTTTTATTATTGTTTCTTGGTAGTTTAATATACTTAAAGATCATAGGCATGATCTTTAAGTGCTTTATTTTGAAATAGAAGCAGATATACTGCCAAACCACAGTGCAGGTGAGTAGTAGCAATATCATGTACCTTTAGTCCATTAGTATTTTCATGCATAAGCCAGTTAAATACTTTCCATGGCCAATTTTTTTTCACTTCATATCCTGCACTTTAAGTATTTTTTTTCTTCAGAATGTATTGTGATGGTACATTTCCATCAAGCCAACCTATAGTTCTTTAAATGACTTCCTGTTGTATTACAGATGATGTCTTCACTCTTCAGTGCTCTTAAGTGGAAGCATGTTGCCAGTGAAAGCTGAACATTTAGTCTGAGATGAAAATGATAGGCCATCTTATCTTACATTCGCTGTATTTCTGATTTCTCTCAAAATCAGAGGAGTGCATAATAAGTTTTTGTCATGTCACCACCTGTGCCTTTTGGGAAATCGCAGCTAAATCCAAAGGGTTAGCTAGGAGATTCCTCCAGTTTTAATATTATTAGACTAATAGCTTGTAATTGTTGTAAGAATTATTAACAGATGGAAAGTTAGGGGGAGTTTCTTTTTATCTGCAGCTATAAAAGGTTAACTAAACTAGCATACTAAATACATTATGGAGTTTAATACATAAACTGTATACAGGTAGGTGTCAATTAATACTGATAATCCCATGAAATGCTCATATTATTTGAATTTGCACAACTTGGACTGATATTTCTATGAAAAACAAGATAATAGGTCCCAGCTCAAAGGAAATAGGCAATGAACAATTTTAAACATAATTTTTATATGTTTATGAATGAAATATAACAGTAAAAAATTAAACATATTTACAACTTAAATATATTTTGACAAAGTCACAGAGTAGTTATAGAAAATAAAACCAAAAAACCCTCTAAATATAATTTCTAAAGAAGTGTACACTGACAAAAACATCTTTAACATATAATGTAGGAAATCAGAGCAACATTGTTACTAATACCACCTTTCAGTCATTTTTGTGTGCTTTTAGTATTTTTATTGCTTTCTAATGGATTATAGATCTCATAAATATTTTTTAAAAAACACATCAAGCAAGCAAAAGGATATGCTGGAAGATAAACCCCTATCTCCAGTATTCTGCTGTAGTTCTTCAAAATGAGTCTCATCTTTTCTGAACTTTCTCCAACAGAATCTTCCTTTTCTCCATTTTGCTCAAACAATCATTAGCCTCTAAAACAGTGGTCCCCAATCTTTCTGGCCCTGTGGATTGGGGGCTGTCAAATGGAGCTTTGTGCGCTCACCCACTGCTTGCACGGCCCAGTTCCCATGGACCAGGGTTGGGGACTGCTGCTGTGACAGGTCTGGGATAACTCGCTGTGGCCAGTTGTTGCAGGACAATTCGCCATGGGACAATTCAAACAATTGTTTCATTCAGTTACTTTTATTATTGGTGACCATGTTTTTGTCAAAATTACTGTAATGCTTGTATTTCTGGATTGACTTTATTTTATTATTATTGGCCAAGGTTCCGTGAAAATTAATTTAGCTTTTGTATTTGTTAAATTGGCTGACGGCAAGTTGTTTCACAGCAAGTTGGCCATGGCATGTTGTGCCATTCTGGCTTCTAAAAACCTCAATGACAGTAGCAGATGTGCTAGCCTCAATTGTGAGTTTGCTAGCCTTGCATTAACTGGATTTTGGTTGGCATTATACAGTAGGTTTTTTTTTTCTATCTTGCCTAAGATAAAGTACCTGGAAACTTAAAAGTTTGCAAATATTTTGTAAACATTGCTGACTAAATAAAAGCATTTGCCTGTGTGGATTTTGGACTAGATTATGGATGTTTTAATGTTTTAATAATCCTGATCTACTTTACAAGTTCATACTAGTTGCTGAAGTAATTAGCTTGTCTGCTTTGAATGTTCAAGCTGTTAGGATAGTAAATATTATAATCATAATCACCAGAATAAGTATATTTTGCCATTTCGAACTTCTGCTTTGAGGGTGCTATGAGCTCTTGTTTTTCTTTTTGTAGCAATAATATCTTCTGAGCACTAAGGTATGGAAAACTTTGTAGAGATTTTTCCTTTGCTGTCTTTTCTAGAATGGCCAAGTGAAGAATCAATATTGGTCATATTATCGTTTTGTTAGTGAGATTGGTGGTATATAAATTTAATAAATAAATAAATAATAAAAATATGTATGTGGCTGCATGGTGTTTCCAGAAGTACTGCAGAGAAGAAGCAGCCCACACTATTGTGAAGGTGTGGGATATTTCTGCTGTGAAATGCATTTTTTGAAAATCAAGAATCCTGACTATCGCTTACAGATTCAAATCTAAATAAACCACTACTTCACCATTAATAAGATTACAAGTAGTCTTCATTTAGTGACCACAATTGGGATTGGCAACTCAGATATGAAACAAAGTGATCACGAAGTGAAACTGTGACACGGTGTGCTCATGATCTTATTTCAACTTGGATTTGGGGGGTGGGGTATTGGTTTGTTTGTTATTTTTTTATACTGTGGTTTTATTGTTTGTAACTAGAGTTGCTGTGAGCAAGTAGGCAGCTATATAAATTTTCTAAATAAATTTAATAAACTTTCGTTTGCTTTAGAGACCTATAAAAGTTGTAAATGCAAGGTTTGTCATGAAGGTACTTTTTCATCATTGTTATAACTGCAAAAAATTGCTAAGCAAAGCAATCAGTAAACAAGGAGTGTCTATCACATTTTTGTCAGGTGTTTTGTAAAAATATAGATGAAAATTTGTTAAAATAGAAAGCCTAGATAATAGATGAGCTAGATGATCCAATGATCAAACTAAATATAGAGTCACTAACAACCTACCTTTTAATGCTTAGGGTTTTATTTTTATGTCTAGGCCTACAAGATTAAATGGGTCCAGTAACAGGAATGACTCCGGATAAGAAAGCTGAAACACCAGGAGTAGAGAAAGCTGCAGGTCTAAGGCATATCCAAAGAATGGGAAGCTTGCCGGAGGCAGGTGATGCTGCTCGACCAAAAGCCACAGCTGTGGATAGTGAAGTTGCGGACGATGAGCTCACCAACTTGAACTGGCTGCATGAAAACAGTAATCTCCTAACGAACTTTAGCCTGGGAAGTGAAGGTCTTCCAGTTGTTAGTCCTCTGTATGATATTGAGGGGGATAATGTGCCAACGTATCCATCCTCCTGCTATTCTAATCCGAAGAAGAAATCTGCCACATCTAAGCCCCCATATTCTTTCAGCCTTCTTATATACATGGCAATTGAACATTCTCCTAATAAAAGCCTGCCAGTGAAAGAAATTTACAGCTGGATTCTGGAACGGTTCCCATACTTTGCTACGGCTCCCACTGGCTGGAAGAACTCCGTCCGGCATAATCTTTCTCTGAATAAGTGTTTCCGAAAGGTGGAGAGAAGCCTTGGCAAGGTGAGATTAGAGTTGTTTACATGTGTCTTTTTAATGACTGTAAACCCATTTTCCTTATTGTGGAACCCTTGATTCAAATGTTTAGTAGAACATAAATAAATATGGAAGGTTTGGGGTCTTCGTTACCTTATACTAGCTTTACTAAACCAGGTGCCTTCCAGATATGTTGGGACTTCAAATTATGTTGATTAGACAGCCTAATCGTTACAGTGTCAATGCATCAGAGAGACCTAGTTGAGGAAACTGTAAAGATAAGGCTGTTACATTCTGTTTTGACAGCCTGACATCTTTTAATCATCACGTAGAACCCATGTGGTTCAGAAGTTAGTGTGCTGGTCAGTTCTAAAGTGTAAAAACTCAGTGGGTGAGTATTTACCGATGGTTTTTATACTGACCCAATTTAAAAAAATACTACCGTGTTTCCCTGAAAATAAGACCCTGTCTTATATTTTTTTGAACCCTGAAATAAGTGCTGGGCCTTATTTTCGGGGAGATCGTATTATTTTGGGGCGCGTGGAGCAAGATGGGGCTCCTCTTGCTATCTTACCTGATTTCCAGCTCTGCATTTAAATATTTTCAGGGAGGGCTTATTTCCGGGGGGAGGCTTATTTTGGTGCATGCGCTCAAAAGGGCTTCTTATCAGGTGATGTCTTATTTTCGGGGAAACAGAGTATTTGGTAAAAGAGTAACTTTAGAGCAATTTCTCTCAGTTCAGTCTACGTTATAAGGTGATTGTTGGGGGAGGGGAATGGAAGGATGAAATGTTATGTATTTTCTCTTGATTTCCTGTTAGAATTCAAATGATAAATATTTGTACCCACAAAGTGTTGATAACAAATACCATTTGCATGAATTGAACAGCTGGAAATGAGCTTATGCCTTCCAGTTCCATCCTCGGCTTTGCTATCAGTTCCTCTCACTTCTATACCTAGGAAGCTGCCTTCTCCCCAGGCAACCATTGTTCCACCCAACTCAGCACTGTTAATGCTAAACGTTAGAAGTTGTCCAGGATTCGTGGTACAGGTTTTTCCCAATCTGTAAGACCTGAAACTGGTATGGCAGGGATTACTGGTTCAAAGGCTAGACAGAACTGTTGTGTAAGCATTGATCAAGTGCCTCCAAGTCTCAGAATGGCCAGATTTCCACATTGAAAATCTCTAAGCAAAAGTCTTAACATTTAAATCCTGGATCATATATTTAGATAGACAACTTGATATTAGCCATTAGCAGATCTTTTCCATATATATTGTTTCTATCTTATTTGTGGCAAGGTAGCAGATTGGACAGTGTTAACATCTATGATGTGATTGGTTACCAGTTTGCTTTTGGGTCCAATTCAAGATACTGGTGGCCAACGTTTGAATTCTACATGTCTTAGTTCCTGATATCTATAAGACTATTTTTCCTATCCTTACTCGACTGAACCCCATACAGTAAGTCACCTGTGAAAATCTGTCACAAGTATTCAGTGTGTTGTGATAAATGTTTTTGACTATGAAAGATTTAGAATAGAAAGACAGAGCCATAATTGGACAGGCTGTTGCATTTATTTATTTATGATGGACATACGTTTTTTGTAGTTCAGATTAAAAAGGAGTAATTTTAAATATACACCATCATTTTGGATGATTTGTTTTCCTTCTGATGTTAATATCATGAAGAAATATTGAAAAGTTGTCATCAGTGTGAAGGCTGCAAACAACATAAAATCTAGTATGTTGCCTATAATTTATAAAGCCATATGCCTTTGTATTGAGGTAATGTGTTGATCGGCATTACAGGTTCAAATCCAGCCTTAGCAAAGGAAATTCACAGGGTGACTTTGGGTTTGAGGAATAAGCACCATATACCTCACCTTGAGCTCTAAAAGGAAAGGTATATGAATCCATATAGTTTTCTGGGCAACAGTAATTAGTTGTGGAGACTACCAGCATTAGGACCCAGCAAATTTGGGGTGACATTGCTGAATATACCTTCCTTTGTACTCAGTAGAATGGGGTTCTGTCTCTTAGAATGAAAATTAAGTCTGAATACTTATGCTGCCCCTCTGCAGCTTGGATGTAGTCAAGAGCATTGAAGACATAAAGGCTGGGTTCACATAACATGCTAGATTTGTTCACACAATGGGCTAAACTATTGTTTGGTAATTCACAGTTTACTGTTTTGGGAATTCAGTCATTGCCTTAATGCATTGTGGGAGCCAATTCATCCTGTTAAGCCCTAATATATTGGGGGGTTATTATGTTTACAGGCATTATGTTTATAAGGTTAAATTGTGAGTTTAGCAGTAGTGTATTGAGTGAAGCCAACTTCTGCTTTGTTTTGCTTATATCAAATGGACCATTTCCAAGTTTTCAAACAGCTTTCTTCCTTCACACAACCCACTAAAACCAACCACATCACAACAATGTGAGTTGTGAATCCAGGGTGTTTATAGTAATTGAATTACATTGCCAGCTCAGAATCAAGGTGTCTCACTTGTACAAAGCAAAGGTATAATTAAAGAAAAAGTATTCTGGTGTTTATTCATCTTTGGGATTGAAGAATTGTACCCACCCTTCCCCATTTGCAATTTCAGTGTTGGGAGGAAGGCTTAGGCATCTTTCATTCAGCATAATGGATAAGTGGAAAAAACAGCTAAGTCAAACTCTGTGACTGAATTTGCCTGTAAGTAGGGTATGGCAGGCCAAGGTGTGGCAGAGAGGGGTAGAAAACTGTTACTGGGAATGCATAGCTAACCTCTTAAGGTCTGACAGTGAATGCTTAAAATTCATGCTGGAAAAATAATTTACGAGAAGTTTTTATATTTTTCTGAGAACAGGAAAGCAGTCATTGTTTTACTTACTTCTTAATCCCAGAAATACAATAATAGGGCTGGAAATAAGCCAAGTATCCAATGACCAGTAGAGTATAATATAAATGCTTACATCTCCAACAGTACTTCTTTGAGTAACATGCCAAGGTGGTTTTCCAAAAGTAATGAATGAAGCCAGGTTAAAAACTAAAATTGATTTTCTGTATCTTACATTTCAGTTTAATTAAAATAAAATAAGAGTTAATAAGATTAAAATCCAGTCATAAATCTAGTGTTTTCCCTAGTGTATTGAAAATGACAATTTAATAGTAACTTCTCAAGTTCTCTTTAAACTATATCCAAGGAATTCAGAAGTTGCATGTAACTTGGATCTCACACTGCACACATTTGAACTAAACTCTTAACAGTGTAGTTAAATGTAATTTTATTCTCTCATAATCTATTTTTTATAATACTTCAGTTGATGAAGAAATTTCAAAAACTACTGAAAGCTTGTCCGCTTTTGAGATTTTTAAGTTAACTAGATGTGTTGGATTTGTTCTTGTAACTATTTCGGTATATTTTACAATGTTTGTGATAACTAATAAGAAATGTGGATTAATTTTGGTAAAGAGGGATTTCTGATGTGTATGCTAGGTGGCATCATTGGCTGAGCTACAAGAATCAAGCAATAACGAGTATAGTGGGTTGCCATTCCTTTTTTTTTGCTATTGCTTAACACTTCATTTAATGATTTATAAATTATATCTGACTAAACTAGGGATTGGTGGCAAATCAGTTAACTTCTCATTTTATTGTACGCTTACAAAAATGTGCGTTCTTTAAACCAATGCCCAAAACAAAGTTTACTAAGCTGACAATCGCGAAACACACATTGTGATGTTATTTATGAGCAGCGAGCGCAAAAACATATTTTTGGGAAATATGGAGAAATATTTATATATTGATGGAAGTGGCATGTAATGATAAAATTACAAAGGGAAAATTGTAGTTTGATATATTAGAAAAAGCAAGTACAGAAATACATGTATTTAGGAGAAATGAAGATGCAAAATGATTGCAAGAAATTGCAGATCAGGGCAGCAATCAGATCCCACACACGTGATTGAAAAAATGAAGGACTAGAGCCCTGCAAAGTAGACCAGACTCTGAAACCAACACCAAATGGTCTTGGACTATTTTTATTGTCTATGGAGATTTTCAATCATCCAGATTATGGTTGTCCCAAAGCTACTTTTTCAAAAGGCATTGGATTTCTTCAGAACTGAAGAAGCTTCTTGGATGAGAAGAGAAATGTCTTCAAGGGAAAACAAAGCCCAATTGCCTTTTGAAAAAGTGCATTTAGGACTACTTTTATTGCAACATCTATAATGATAGGCTTCCAAATTTGAATGTTTTTCATGTGAACTAGGAAAGAGCTTGCTTGATACACTCTCTCTTACTACTCAGTTACAGATTCATGACCACCTTATCTTGCTGTTGCTGTGCTAGCAACTCTTCCTCCTGTGCTTCAAGACCATTCCCTATGTCCTCTATAGATATTCAGTGGAAAGTCCACAAGGCTTCAAAGTAGAGTTGAGGCTATCTTCATTCTCCCGATTTTCCATGGGTTCAGCTGTGAAATTTAAATACGTAGCTAGAACATAAATATAACTGCACAATCTTGGACAACTTTTATTATAGAGCTATATTTACATTCTAGCAAACATGAATTGAGTACAACTCTGCTTTGGACTTCCAAACTGAATGTGTAGAGAATGGGAAGGGAAAAGATGGGATGTATGTGTAGATTTGTTCTTTGCCTAGTTAGTACTTTTCGTGCATTCAGCTGAGTAGAAATGAATATAAAGAATTTATCCAAATGTATCCATTGTAAGCCATCCCATCAGAATGAATGACTGTATTTGTTCGCACTTGATTTTCCTTTGCTACCTGTCCAGGTGACTTAAATTTTGCCAGCGTTGAGGTGTACCTTACAGAGTTTGCATGGTAGGAGGACTGTGGTTGTTCTAGAAAAACTGGAAATTGTATGTTGCGTTAGTTCTGTTGCCTAAAGTAGGAGAAATGGGTTATTTGAAAGTTGTGCTGTTTGTGGCAGGGAGAGCTTAGTGTGTAAAGTACCAGCTCTTTAAGCAGCCTGGTTTGTGTTGCCATGGTAGCATTTCCTCTTGCTTGGCTGGCTTAT